TTAGCCTTTATAATGCTTGCTGTTAATTTTTACATTCAATTATATTAATAACTAAGTGACAAAATAATTGATACATCATATTTAATATCAAACCTAATCCTTCAGCCCAGATGAGACATAATGTAATACAGCAGTTAAAAGCATAAACCAGAGTACAAATCCTTTTCAGTTCTCTCAACCAAGTGTTTCTGATATAGAGAGGACATTTTGGCAGTCATGTTCATTAATAAAGTGAGTGTTATTAATACCTATGGTGGGTATGTATTCAGTGGCTTTTGGCAAAATTATACCTCTAAATAAAGGTGAAATTCAATAAGAATGATAAGATTAGGGATCTGTATCCATAAGGTATTCCTCCGTAAAGCACCCCCACCAGCCTCATTTACCTGCCACGGGTTCTATCCTGCAGTGGGTGTTCACACTTTGTCGAGAGAATGAACGTTTGGATGGTGCCTCCAGTAGTGGCATTACTCTCATCTGACTGCTCCTTTTATCTCTGGATCTCCCAAGAGGCTGCCGCTGCTGCTAAAGTCACTTCAGTCGTGTCTGACTCTGTGCGACCCCACAGACGGCAGCCCATCAGGCCCCTCCATCCATGGGATTTTCCAGGCAAGAGTACTGGAGTGGGGTGCCATTGCCTTCTCCACCCAAGAAGCTAGTTGCCACAAACGGGTTACTCCAGGAGATCCTATGGAAGGTGCTTAAGTACTAGGAGGGCACTCTGGACTTGGCGCAGTAACTAACTATTCAACCACCATGGACATGCATTAGTGTTTTAACAACTGGTACAGCTGAACCAATGTGTACTAGCTGAACATCAGGTCTGAATGCAGTACTCTATACATACTCTTTAGAAGTGGTACTATTTCTGTGTCTGTCTAATTAACTGAGGTATGCTATAATGTACATTAAAATCAACTCTATGATAAGTTTTCTCTTTTCTCCTTGAAGTTATCAACTTTGGATGTATATAAGTTAAAAAACTCAATTTCAGAATTTTTTTATTTTTCAGGTGAATTGATCTGAGTATAAAGTAACCTATCTCTAGTAATTTTTTTTGCCTTAAAGCCTATTTTGTTGATATTAAATATAACAGCAGCTTTCTTTTGCTTAGGTGTTTGACATATCCTCTTTATCTTATGTACAAGAAGTACATTTAGTATTTCTATATTATAATTAGTAACATTTGTATTTATTTTCAGTGATTCTTTGTGCTTTATTATACCTTTTCTACTTTTCTTCCCTTTCCCTTTCTTGTCTTCTGGAATGTTTTTCCTCATTCCAAATTTTTTTCTTCTTCTAGTCCTGAAATAATGCACTTATTTGTCTTTTGGTGGTTACCCTGTAAATTTTAATATGTACACATTAAAGCCTAAAGTTAATATATCACAATTCTCCCTCAGAAAAATAAAGAACTTCGAATATCCCTTCATAATTTATATGCTATTGTTGCCTTCTATTTTAGCTACATCTTTGTTAATCCCAAAGACAAAATCAGATTGTTTTACATACAAATTTCCCACTTTCTCTGATCATTCCTTCTAATATCTCAAGACCTGAAGCTGAAAACACTTTCTTCTCTCTGAACTTAGACTTCCATTACTGAAGGTCTGGTGGCAGACTTACTGAGCTTTGATTGGATGCTTATGTATTTATATCATCTTTGTTCTTGACAAGAACAAAGAACTCATATTTGCTGGGTATAGACATTCAGGGTTGGCAGTTTTTCTCAGCATACTGAAATGTAATCACCACTATCCTCTAATTTACACTATTATTGATGCCTGATTGGCTTTCACTTGCATAGTTACTCCTTTGAAGGTCTTTTTCCCTCTGGCTTTTATTATTTTATACCTGTTGTCCTACAGTTTCCTATATGGCAAGGGAGAATTCCTGCTAGGGGTGTGTCCGGTTTCTTAAATCATTTGATACCTTTCTTCAACTCTGGAAAGTTCTCAGCTACTGCGGCTCCAAGTTTCTTTTATCCTATTACTGCATTTTCGTTGGGAACTGACCAGATACACAGTATACATTTTTCTCTCTGTGCTTTGTGTCACCAAGCCTCCTTCGTATTTTCAGTCTCTTTGCCTCTCTTGTCTGCAATCTGGATAAGTTCTTTACTTCTATTTTCCAATACACTAATTCTCTCTACATCACTGCCTAATGTATTCTTAGAGGATAGTGTAAGAAAGTCCATTATTATTGCAAATATTATCAAAATTCCTTTTTCAAAATGCCATTTTAGGAGGTGACACACTTATCTGGACAACGCTGCCATTGCTTAAAACATTTTACAGTTCTTTACAGATTACCTTCTGGTCCATGTATCCTTCATTTTTCTTTCTTAGTGCCAAATTTCTAGTCTGGTCTCTATAAAATTCTTAATTTTAATTCTTATCTTCTGTATCACCTCTTCTTTTTGCACTGAGAAGTCCTTGACAGTGGCTACAGTATCCAGTAAGCTGATTTAACTTATATATAACTGAAGGATATGAGAAATCATCTCATTTAACAAGATATGTCCATTTATATAAAACCATTTTAAGTCCTCTAAATATTGGGGCATATTAGATATAGTCAGAAGACTAAAAAATTACAACACCGAACTATTTTCACCTATTACCTTGACAGAAATGGAAAAGAATGGCAATGTGCAACACTGGCAAAGGTACAGGAAGACAAGCACTTTCATTGGGACTGATAAGAATAAGGATTGGTACAGTCTTCACAAAGGGCAGTTTAATAACAGGAATCCAAAATCTTCATAACCTTTTACTCATTCTAAGGACTTACCATAAGAACATAAATTTAAAATATCAGTTTAAAGGTTTTATTTTAACTAATGAAAAAATTTAAACAATGCTGTAGAAATATATTCAGTAACATAGATAATTTATAACGTATGAAAAAAAGCAGGCTGCAAAACAGTAGGTTCTATTTTTATGTTAAAAAAAACATACAAAGGGAGCTCCGTGGTGGTCCAATGGTTAGGACTCGGCACTCTCACTGCCATGGCCCATGTTCAGTCCCTGGTCAGGGAACTAAGACCCACAAGCTGCACATGGTGCAGTCAAGAAAAAAAAAAATTTAAACAAATAAAAAAGATATATACAAAGAAAAAGATTCCTTAGATAGCCATTTACTCTCTGGGATCATGAAGGATATTTAGCTTATTTTAGTTTCATTTACTGCCTAGGTTTTCTACGGTAAGTAATTAGTAATTGTATAGTTACACGTTATTGCATGAAATATCAGAGTACCTAAATAAAGTACCACCTTTTACAAAAGTGTTACTGTAGGAAAACATAGCCCATATTAAAACAAGAACTATCAGTAATATACTCCTCATTCTTATAGTACTGGTAATGAGAATTCCTCTGTCATAACTCATTCTATCCCTCTCACCCTCTACCTAAAATTCCACCTTCAAAGAGTAGAAACAACTACTTCTGAAGGCCTGATAGAACAGGTAGGAGGCTGGAAGGAAAGGAGCTGGGATATGCTGAAGAGAGGAACAGAAGGGTTATGAAGAACAAACTGCTGGTATTTGGGGAGAAACTTTAGGAATAGCACTAGGTTGGAGGAAGGAGTGAGGAGAGGAGGTTCCACAGATAAACTTCAGCAGAATAGTTAGTTTCTCCTCTCACCAATCTTCCCTGTATTCAGGTGTACAGTCACTGCTTCAAGTCAACTACTATATTGAGAAAAAGCATTTGCAAGTGAAATGGAATAGGGTGTACCTACTCAGTGACCCCAGATTCTGATACTTTGCTCCTTCGTCAGCATATTTTATGTCTTTCTTCAGTACAATTTTTTCCTTTGTTAACCTATGGTCTTTCAGTTTCTCTAACATATCATCTAACATAACATAGGTCGTTTGACATACCAGTTCCTTCATCTGAAATATTTCTATCCCCTCCCCAACACTGTCTTGACTAATTTATCTCCTACTCATCTTTCCATCTTGGTTAAGTGTCATTTTCTCAGGGAAACCCTGAACACCCTAGTCCACAACAGGTTATTTCCAGCCTTTATCTCAACCTGTAAATATGTATCATGAAATTATCTAGTATGTTTATTAATTTCTAGTTGAACCAATAGGTCCCAAGACTAATGGACGCAATGCCATTGGTTGTTTTGCTCACCACTGCCACCTCTGCCTCTAGAGCATAGCAAGTGCTCAACAAATAAATGCTCAATGAGGGACTGAGTGAATGAGTAACTAAGCAAATGACTAGGAACCCAGAGGCCCTGATTTGGTAAGAGTTGTATTATTTACGTCCCCTCATGGTGGAACCCTGTGTAAAGTTTTACCCTTGACTGCTGTTGAACTTGTTCCTGTACTTAAAAAACAAAGTTTAAAAAACAGGTATCACTTTGAAAATTCTCCATAGCTCAAAGTAAACCGAGGCCAAACATGGTATTTTAATTATCCAAGAAAAAGGCTAGATACCATTAACAGAACATGTAGTCTAGCCTGGGAACTTCACAGATGCCCACATCACAAGATATCTCTCTACTGGATCTTAGTCTCTAACTGGAGGAAAGGAACGGAGGAACCCACACTTGTCCCTTCAGCGCAGGTCGGGCACAGGGAACGGGGATTCTGCAGGCTCAATACCCTTGACAAAGCTTAGGTGGGAAAAACACGCCTAGGGTGTCAGGGGGGGTTGGGGCATTTATTCAAAGTGAACTTATTGAGCATCTACGGTGTACCAGAAAACCTTAGCTCTGGACTGGCTCTGACAAACCTGCCGGGGTTGCTTCAGTCACTTCACAGAGCTCTGGTCCAGAGGAGGAGCAAACCGGCCCCGGGTTCGCCTACCTCCAAGCGCCGGACAGGGCCTCCGACAGCGACAGAGCGCTTCACCGAGAGTCAGGGGCACGAAAGCTGGCCGCCCCGCAGGGACTCGCAAACCCCAGGCCTGGCTGGGCGAGCGGGCCCCGGGCAGCCGCGCCAGGCGGAGGCGGGTCCCCGCCCTCCGAGGGGCCGCGCTTACCCGTCGGGCGAGTACTCGAGGTTGAAGACTGCCCCGTGGGTGCGGGTGCTGAGGTACACCGAATCCGCGGGATGGATGGACCCATAGAGGTTAGTCATGGTGCGGAAATTGTCCCGCGCCGGGTCCACAAACAGCCCACGGCCCAGGCTGCGCTCTCTCAGCCACCCGAAGAGCCGGGCGCCAGGGCCGCCCAGGCGGGCTCTGAGGCAGGGCTGGCCACGGCTCCCGGCCCTGCAGTCAGGCCCGGGTGGCCGGCGTGGCGGGGAAGGCGGTGAAGGATCTCCTTTAGCGGAAGCGGCTGAGGACTCGAGAGCTCCGAGCGGCCCGAGCTCTCGCGCGCGCCCGCCGGGGGGCTGCGAAGGGGCGCAGGGACTGCGAGGGCTCCCGCCGGGCGACGGGGGAGGGGCTGCGTCAGCCCCGGGCTGTAGTGGCGAGGGCGGGGAAGGGAGCGGCCTGGCAGTAGCCGCCTCTCTCCCGTAGGGTGCCGGCTCCTCAGCCCTGGCTCCAGCCGCCCTGTCCCCTCCGGGGCTACGGAGCCCGAGGGGAAACATGACCAACGCCCACGCCCCCGCCCCCAGCTCCCGGCCGCTGCCCAGCCGGCCAACACCTCAGTACTCCCGCTCCAGCCGCCACTTCCGGCGTGCGGCCGCCTAACCTCTCCGGCTGGGAAACCCGCGCCGCCTCTCGGTATCATCCGCCGGGGACCAAGAAAGCGGCGACACCGTTCGAGTAGGGGTGCTACAGACGGCAGGGTTGGAGGCCTAGAGCTACTGTGTGTGCGCGATAGTGAGAATGCCCAGGGCCTAGGTTGCATGGGGTAGCGCTAGCATCCGGGAACTGCGTGCGCTATTGTCCGTATGTGGTTATCAGTGACCAGACTGTGTCTTTGGGGATGACAGGGTCTGACTGGTGAGTCCAAGAGGCTGAGTATGATTGGGTACTGTGTACATAATCATCTCTACTTTACACTGAGACCAACGAAGGTAAGAAATGACCATCTTATGTGCTGCTCACACAGTAAGCAGCATGGTGTACTGCCTACTCAGCCTGGGAATCTAGGGACTCAGGTTAACTTCTGCACTAAAAAGCCCTGGTTGGCACAGCGCCTGGGGCTTACTGCTGCCCTGGAGCTCTGCCCAGTTACCAGCGACTTTACCTACTAGGTCAAGCCTTTACCAAAGCCCTCGTCTCTGCAAGAAGCATATACCCAGCCAGGAGTCACTGAGAGGAGCCGAAATCGGAATCAATTCAACCTGACAAGCGACAGAGCCCAGGGTCAATCCTGCTTACATCTGCCAAGCAGGGCATAGAGGGCATAAGAGATGCAAAATCCTTCACTAGTGCTGCTGAAGATAAATACATAGAATTCATTTGCAGAAAAAGCTTAACTAGAACTGGGGTGTTTCTTGGGGAGAGGACAGTTTGCAAGGAAGGGAACCTTGAGGTATAAGAAGAGGGAGGTATAAGAAACGACAACCCTTCCAGGCCTTGGGGCTTCCCCTGTGGCTCAGCTGGTAAAGCATCTGCCTGCAATGCAGGAGACCTGGGTTCGATCCCTGGGTTGGGAAGATCCTGTGGAGAAGGAAAAGGTTACCCACTCCAGTATTCTGGCCTGGAGAACTCCATGGACTATATCATTTAGTAATGTCAGGTTTAGGGTTTTTTTTCTTACACTTCTACTTAAAATGTTTCACCATTATTTTAAAACCTCTCAGTGAAAAAAATAAAAATCACTAGAGGTTACCAGAGAAGGCACTAAAGACAGAACAAATCTGTGCCTGCTTCTGTTTACCCACTGCCTTTCAGAGCCCTCAAACACCACTGTGTTAACAAGAAATTTATTTCAAACTGCAGTCTATAGACCAATTTCTATGCGATGCTATTTTTTTTTAAACTAAAAAATGTTCAACTTCAACCGCTGAAATTCACAGATATCAATTCAATAGAAATGCCTGAAGCATCTTCTGGAATCCTTTGCCCCATACTCTTTTCCAATCCCGATGCGCCTTTCCAATCACAACAAAGTAAAAAAAAAAAAGCAAAAACACATCAATCTCATCAAAGAGGCAGAGAACAAATTTGTTTACTTTCTTCCCTATCCGTTGACTAAATATTTTTTTAAAAATTACTTCCCAACTGGTGTCTTATAATGAAATGTGCTAGAAATGTAAACACTGGCCTTTCTGTTCAGGTTTTTATATTTTAGGAGCAGCAGGTTCACTCCTGATTTCTTTGACATCATTGGTTCTGCTCATCAAATAGAATTCTTTGTTGGGAACAAGATTGACAAAATGAGCAAGGCGGTTGGACATGGCATAAAAAGCTGAAATTGCAGCTATATCCCAGGCATCTTCCTGGTTGAAGCCATGCACCTCAAGCTTTTTGAAATGGTCATCTGTTATGTCATCAGCTTAGGAAAGAGCAAGTGCAAATTCCAGCATTGCCTTTTCCCGGGCAGGGAGGTCCGACTTTCTCCAGTTGATACAGACCTGTAAGAAAACACAGTTAGAGGCAGAATCTCTGTCCATCACAACATAGCCAATAAAACACATGGTCTAACAAAAGAAGCATTAATGAAAAAACCTAAGATTAAAGAGGTGAAGTGAGGCCAAAATAAACTTTACAGACAGGAAGTATCTTGGTCAAGTTCAATATAATGCAAACCTGGAACTCTAGCTCTGCCAGGAAATCTTTGCTCACTCCAACTACAAGTACTTCTTTCTCCTCTGAACACCCATAGCATCAAAAACCTCAGAACCAAGATTCAGAGACTCTTAATACATAAGGGCCCATAAATATCAACCTTTTTGTATGAAAAAAGTGAAGCTCAGATAATTATCCCTTTGTCCCCACTGAATCGCAAATAACTATCAGCTATTAATTTGCAAAATTAATAGCTGATACTTAAGCAATGACTGTGCTAAGAATGTGCTCAATGCTTCATATTCATTATCTCATGTAATTCTTATAAAAATCCTAGAAAGTAATGTTTTTTTATTAGTCACTCCCAATTTTACTGGCAAAGAAACTGAAGCTCAGAGAGTTCACACTTTCCCAAGGTCACACAGCTAGAGAGTGGCAGAGCTAGGATATGAATCCAAGTGTATTTGATTCCAATGAGTATACTGATAATCATGACCCTTGCTAAAGCAAAATACTGGAAACCATTAGCAACCTGGGATTTCCCTGGTGGCTCAGACGGTAAAGAATATGCCTGCAGTGCAGGAAACCTGAGTTTCAGTCCCTGGGTCAGGAGAAGAGAATGGCAACCCACTCTAGTTTTCTTGCCTGGAAAATTCCATGAACAGAGGAGTCTGGTGAGCTACAGCCCATGGGATCACAAAGAGTCAGACACAACTGAGTGACTAACACGCACGCACGCACACACACACACACACACACACACACACACACATTAATGACCTAAAAATCAGAAGAACAGCTGAGCAAACCATGGTGTGATAGTACATCCTATGATCATTAGGAAGACTATGTTTGAGACTGGTCCTGGATGAGAAAAGTTCTGGTGAATAAGCAGGTGGCTCTGAGAAGGGCAAAGGTGATGATGTACCTGTGTTGTTTAGCTTTTGGCTAGCAACAGAGGCCTTCAGAACAATTTTCAAGGTCTCTACTCAGGTGGGGTCAGAAAGGAAGGTTGGAGGATAGGAGAAGACTGATGACCCTCCCTCAGGAATAAACGCAGAGAACAGAAACATCTGTTTCTGAAGATACATCTGGCTCAAAAGATAAGGAATTTCACTGTAGGGATGAGGAGGGTTTTGTAAGCTTGGTGACAAACCCATGTTTGCTGTGTCTTTATCCTTGGTTCATTTCTCTGGGAAGAACTGGCACGAGCTCTGACACTCAAAACAGCCTGACTCTGGATGAAACAAGTTAAGAGTAAGCTGCTGGCTGGGGAGTTGAGACCCATTTCACAACCAGTCTTGGTGGGGAAGAGCAGGTGGGGGCAGTTCCAGAATGGGAGACTGACAAGCCCAAACTTGGGACCAGCTGTACGAAGTAAAAGAAATCTTAAATTGCCAGTCCAGGTTCAATGCATGAGGCAGGGTGCTCAGGGCCAGTGTACCGGGATGATCCCGAAGGTTGGGATGGGGAGGGAGGCAGGAGGGGGGTTCAGGATGGGGAACACATGTACACCCATGGCTGATTCATGTCAATGTATGGCAAAACCACTACAATACTGTAAAGTAATCAGCCTCCAATTAAAATAAATAATTAAAAAAAACTGTTTGGGGCCCATTAGGAATAACTAGGGGATAGACTAAACTCACAAGGGCTTCCCTGGTGGCTGAGACAGTAAAGAATCTGCCTGTGATGCAGGAGACAAGGGTTCAATCCCTGGTCGGGAAGATCTCCTGGAGGAGGGCATGGCATCCCATTCCAGTAGTTGTGCCTGGAGAATCCCATGGACTGAGGAGCCTGCTGGGTTACAGTCCACAGTCACAGAGAGTCAGACATGACTGAGGCGACTGGACATGAATGCATAGACTAAATTCATACTGGAAAATGCATACTATACAATGTAGCCGAGAGAGTGTAAGCTTTGAAAGTGGACCCTGCCGCTTTAGTTGTCCACCCCACATTAATTCCAGGTCTGAACCTCAGAGGTAAAAGGGTTATAATAAGGTTCAACTTAGGGAGTTGTGTGCATTTAAGAGAATGTCAGGTCTGGCACAAAGCTAGAGCTTAGCTATCCCCTCGTCCCAAACATCACATGCACACAGAAGCAGGTGGGTGCAGGAATGGGAAACTGGCATGGGGAGGTAGGCGCTCACCTGGTCAGACAGCACTGGCTTCTTCAAGAAGACCCTGTACTGGGCACTCCACGCTACATGAGTACCTGTTGGCCAGGCTGGTCACCAAAATAATGAGCTCCTTGTCAGCTCTGCTGAGCTGGCCTGGGGAGGGAGAAGACAGGAGAGCTGCCATAAGCCTGGAGAGCAGCTCAGAAGAACCTAAACAGGCTCGGCCATATTTTAGCAAGTTGCCCGCCTACCTGCTCACTTATTCATTCCCGGTCCTGTGCTATGAGCTAACCTATTTTATTTTCTTCACAATACTGAACACTTTCTCAAGTCAACTTGTTCTTTTATTTAGTCGTTCACTGTTTTCTCCTCCCTGGAATATGCTTGCAAATCTATGTATTTTTCTGATTTGTTCACCACTGTATACCCAGAGGAATGCCGAACAGATGTAATAGTTGCTCAGAAAATATGTGAATGAATTACTAATTCAAGAAGTATTTTCTGAGGCCCATCAGGTACTAGACACTTTTTGGAAAGGGGGTTTAAAAAAAAAAGACATTTTCCAACCTCAAGGGCCATGCTACTTCTAGATAGAGAAGGGCAGAGAAGGGGAGAGTCCACTTTGGTAGCTGGTACCATCTGGGAACTTTAGATAATCTTCACAACAACAGCTCTGCAGAGGAGGTATTAATACCATTTTACTAGTAAGAAAACCAAGGCACTGAGACATTTAAGTACTCTGTTGAAGCTCACATCATGATTTATGGTAGAATCAGATTTGAACA